ATAGCCCAGCCGCCACCCGCCGCCGCACCGGAGCAATTTTCGGTCGCCAAACAAGGTAAAAATTCTCTCCTTGGCTCAGAATTCGATTCTAAACCCACTTATGGCCAAATCAGAGCAAAAATACCGGCCAATTAGCCAAAAATGCCGCCGAAGCCCAGCGGTGCCGCTGCGGGTTATCTCGGTTTTTTCCTCCGATGAGGCCTTTCCTGATCCCTGTTCGATGTAATTTTTCCACCATTGTGACCGCCGTTCCCTCCTCTACAAGTTGACCAGAGCAAAACACCAAACTGCGACGCGAGCCGGAGGAGCCACTGCACCGGAGAGCCCCACCACTAGTAAGTTTCATTTTTCTATTTTTTTCGACCCACCGAGGGCCCTAGGGGGGTTTTCTCACATGAACCAATGCAAATTTGGCTGAATTCGGCCGAAAACGGCTTGAAACAGCCAACCCGAGGTAGATCGCGGCGGCGCCGTTGTCGGAGCATGGCGAAACCGCCATGCCGGAATTTCAAAATTGGTCGAGTAGGCCCTGGGTCTTACTTTTTATTTATTTGGGACATGTGTAGGTACCGTAAGCGTGTTTCAGTTCTCGGAAAAAAAAAATTCAGGGAACCCAAGAACTGCCCGTAAACGCAGTGAAAATCTAGTTTTCGGCGTCATATCAGGTAAGGACCCCTTCCCATATTTCCTATCACGGGATTAAAGTCTGAACAAATGATAAAATAATTTTTTGTACAAATTGAATAGATATGCATAATTACGGTTGCTAATGGAGCCCGAATCATACATATTTCTCTATCAGTTCCTGTTTGATTTATTTTACAGTTTAAATGCATTACTGTATCTAGTTTATTTATTCTATGGTTTTGAATGCATGAATCACTGTTTACTTCACTACTGCTTGATTTTGTGAATCTAAGATATGTTTGTCTTGTTGGATGCTCGTTGCTTGTTTAAGTATTCATGTTTGAATGGGTAACGAAGACTAAGAAAAAAATAGGAAAGGGGTGTGAATTGATAAATGGATAAGATGACAGCCTCATTAGATATCCTAGGGGATGGTGGACGGACCGGGTCCATAAGGAACCCTATCGGGAACGTTGTCTCATACAGGACGGGGTATGGAGACTTTATCGTTTTGGCGCTCATACCAGACGGGGTATGGGGACAACCCGCTTCACCTTCATACCGGACGGGGTATTGAGGTTTATTATTTTGGTGCTCATACCGGACGGGGTATGGGGACGACCCTGGAATTAAGTTTGTTAAAGGGAATGGTTCACGTGTAGCGGGAACCCCTATGAATCCCTATGGATACTAATAGGCTGATAAAAAAGGGCAATTATTGTTTGATAATTTGAATATAAAGTATTTATATGTGATATGTTACATATTATATATGAATTCATGATATTTATAATATTATTATTTCCATATGTTATTTTATAATCTCACTACGTTAAATGGACAGTAAATGGTTTGATTATTGATAAATGAATTTGTTTAAATCTACTGCTCCATTAGTTGTTTTAATTTTATACCAATCTTTACTTCTGTGACGGTGAATAGTGTGATATGCTTATTGGGATAGTGTAGCTCATTTCTTATTTAACAATTTCATATCAGGAGGACTTGGTTCCCGAGCCCGATCCACAAGAAGACGACGAGTAGATACTAGATGTCTTATAATTTTCTTTATACTTATTTTATTTTTAATATTTCTTTTAAAGAACTTATTTATTGATATTGTTTAATACTTTTAAGTTATTATATAAGAAATATTAATCTAAATTTTTTATTTTGTTTCCGTACTCAAATTATTATATATATATTTCATTTTGAATTTTCCGAAACCGTTACAGAGACGCTCAAGAGTCTGCTTGTTTTGCGTGTAGTCTCTGATGGATGCCAAAAAGGTGATGAAGGTTTTGATTACTCTTTTCAAATTTAAAGAGTGTTATATACATAGACATATGCATACACCGAAGACAAGACACATATAGGTATAAAGCACAGAGATGAGGGTATGAGAGTCCGTCTCCACCATGTCTTTCTCTCCTTTTTCTTAAACTTTAAATCTTAATTTAATTTTTTTTCTTATTCTTAATTGTATTATTTTTTTTGTATTCTAATCACGTGATGATGATTTTTCGTCTGCAACCTCTTCAAGGTCATGCATGTTTAGAACCTTAATTTGTTTCCGTACAAAATTTCAATTTCATCGACACGTGGCAAACTAAGTTATTTGACCCAACACGTGCCGTTGACTTACGACTTTTTTGAAGAGCTTTAAGTGAAAATATTTATTTAGAAATAATTTAAAAATATATAAAGATTAAAATAGAAAAGTCTGGATTGTACGGACTATCTAAATCTTTTTGTGATATTAAGAGGATTTACATATAAAGGTAGTTGGTAAGAATAATATTATAACATTGAAGATGTAAACAAAACTTGTTTAAATAAGATTACATATATGTTACATATATATATATATGTGTGTGTGTGTACAAGGTTAATTGTTGACCACATATCCATGGTTAATATAATCCTATAAATTTTACAAGTAGGAATATTTTAATTTTATTATCTTATACTTACTAATAGCAATTCTTGAGAGTTATATATATAATCATCTTAGAGTAATGATTCAAATTTTAATATTAAATTAAGAATTGAATAAATGTGAGACTAAAATTTATTAATTACATATCTCCCCTGAGTTTAAAGAATATTTCTTGTTGCATGTATATATATATATATATATATATGCATATATAACATTACCTTCCCAACTAAGATACTAAGTTAGGTAATTATTACTAATTCAAAATTTGTTAAAAAAAAAAGAAAAAGTAAAGTAAATAAAGAAATAAAAGTATGTTGAAGGATCAAATATTTATTTATATATTTATAAAGTATGATTTACCTTAAAAAAAACAAAACATAAAAATGCTGAGCTGGGAGGGGGTCAAAGAAATACAAGTATCTGGAACAATCATACTATATAAAATATTATTTATATATTGCCACTAAAGGAGTGAGTTTATTTATATAATATTAATTAATTAATTTTATTTTATTATAAACACAAAAGAAGAATCTGGGCTGCTTTGGGATCTGTATCTGTGTGTTGTGCTGGCTCATTATTGAGATATGTATCAGCTCATGGGCAGTCCGTCCTTTGCTTTATATAATTATATATATATATATATATATATATACTTTTATTCAATATTATATTATATATAATTTTTTATAAAGATGGTAGATCTAAAGATATAAATAGGTGAGCTACCACGTGGACACGTGTCTCGGTGTAAAGATTTTGGTATTAACAATTTTACATTGGAGATTAGAGAAATGTGATACCCACTTTTATGCTTATCTAAGAACTAATAATGTTAGTTAAGTCACGATTGTTATTATTTTATTATTTTTTTGGAAGATAATTAATGTGATTAAGAGTATAGAGAACAACTTACAAGCTATTCCATGTCTTATTATAATTATTTTTTTTTAAAAAAATTAAATTATTTTTTCCATGTCAAATGTTAGGAAAGAAGACATGAATCAAATGATTTAATTTTTTAAAACAAATTGAGTTATAATTTCATTATACTTTTTTGTTCTTTATTTATTTTAAGAATATCTTAACTTTATTTTTTTATATTTTAAGAATAATTTTTTTCTTTTAATTATAAGTGTATTCAAATATATTTTTACTATTATCACTCTATTATCATCATCGTTGTTATCTCGAATTATAATTTTTTTTTATTTAATAAAATGACAGCTAACAATACTAAACTGATATTTAAATATTCAATTTTAATTTATCTAAACAGTGATGAAGTTCGAACTTATCTTCAAACTCAGTTGGAGCTCATTTTTAATTGTTTACTCAATTTGATTTAACAAAGGTTGATTTGTTAAATCAAAACTAGTAAGTATACTTCTATAAAGAGAAAACTTAAACTTATTCAAACCCAAGATAAATTTAATTTTTTTTAAAAAAATTTTATACTAGGCTAAAGTTGGGGATTATCTTAATTGAACTAGAGTTAATTATTTTATTACACAAGTAAGTATAAATAAAACAGATTTTTCAATCTTTTGATTTCAACCTTTGGTAAAACTTTCTTTAACTAAAAACTCAAATAGTTTGTCAAACATTAATTTTTATTTTGTCATTTATCAAAGTCAAAAACTAAATATAGTTACATGTTTTATTTTTTTTAAAAAAAAAAATTACTTAATTTTTAATGGACAACTGAAATGTTGATTATAGTGTCTACCTAACTAATGTTTTGGTAGAGACAACCTTCTTTATAAATGATATGACATGTATTTTTACTAAACTTTATAGTGTTGGTGAATCTTTATAACAAGAATGACTATTATACTATTCGAGGGACTAGTTCATATTATAGTATTTCAACTACTTTCACGTATGTATGACAAACATAAACCATATCGTTGACATTAATCAAGGAAATAACGTTTAGTTATACATGCATGTAGGCATTGTGGGATGGGACCGTGTAGAAACATGTCTCATCCCGATTTAAGCCATTAGTTTTTAGAGCATATTTTTAACATATAAACCTCAGATAAAAGAATCTACATGACTAGTACAAGTTAGAGAGAATATAGGTTTACGGTGGACCATTAATGTTTAATTTCTAAATATAACAGACAATAACATGAACAAAATTTTACTAAGCAAAGTATCGTTTTGTCCTATTCAAATACCAACATTGTCTTTTAACTTTTTAATAAGAGAGACTTTAAAAATTAAACATAAAAACTGTTTAGCAATCATATGTTGTTTTGTATTATTTTTTATTAGCCAGAAAAATTTAATAGAACAAAATATATTAAATTTTGAAAATTGACTTAAATTCATTTGTTTTTTTAACCAATTTATTTAAGATGTTTTCTTAAAAATTGATTAATAATATACATATGCTCTATTTTTGGCAATATACATATATCTATTTTTTACTATCTGACATATATATAACTGCTTTTCAACTATTTCAAAACATTCTAGCACTTGGATAAAAAATTCCACGGGAACATCTATCTCTGCCTGTCCCGGATCCATCCTATTTTCACTATGCCTCGCTAATAGCACAAGGCTGCAAATTTTCTGTGGTACTCGAATAAAAAAAAAATAAAAAAATAAAAAAAATAAAAAAAAAAAACCTTTTTAACTGTAAGAACGCGTAATGAGTTACCTGAATCCAAGACTCCGAGAACCTACCAACTGAATGTAATTTCCTGAGATAAGCCAGAAAAGGAAGTTAAAATGAGCACTTTCTGACAATATTCCAAATCATGACACTACTAGGAACATTCAGTTTTTATGCTTCTGGGTTTGTTCTTCATCCCATCCAGATACTGCTTCACACAACTTTGGTTTGCTTCGAAGATGAAAGGCATTCCTCTTATCTGCAAATTCACCATTCAACAAGTCAGGAGTTGGATGAAAATAATCAATTCTAACAAGGAAAACTAAAATCTCAACAACCAGGTCAGGAAATGCAGTAATTTGAAAAACAGATGTAACATCTAAAATCAACATCCCCATCCCTAGTGTTCCTATCCAGTGTAACCAGACTTCGTTTAACACCTATATCCAAACTTGTATGTATGTAAATACAATCAGTGGAAATCATCAGAAAATATTCAACGACTTCGATTCCTTCATGATTTCAAATGTGTAAGACCTCTAACAAAGCCCGCCATGGCAGCAAATCAATCTAAGATTCCTCAAAAAACCTAGTTCCTATAGATCTCTATAAATTAACCTCCTTGAATTATCCCTCCTTGCAAACCCAATTTATTGCACCGATCTCGTCTCAACTTGCCCGGCTATACCAATGGCACAATTACACCACCCACTCTTGCCCAAGCTGCTGATGACTCTTAGAACCCTGCACACATATTCTAGCTTCACCAATATCTGATCATCTTGCACACTGTCGTGCTTCAAGTTTTGGAAGGTGTGGTTTCACTCATTGTCACAAAGCCATCACAAGGAAGGGCTGAAATTGGAAAAGATCTTAGCCAGCAACTTGCAATTCCATGCAGTCGGATAAATTCAGCATTTCTCACGGTACCAGATCACATCTGATTCTGTCGGTCAGGGTCATTTAACAAATAAATGCAGCCATGCCATTAGTCAAACCTCTTAAGCCAACAAACAATAACCTCCAAATCAGTAAAAACCCAGATGGCTAGTGGATTCAACTGTATCAAATCATGTGTCAAATGTGCAAGCTAATTAATTGCACCAACTGATTATTACAAGGGATAAATGAAATTCACATTGGAAACAGCTCCAAGCATCATGCTTAAAATATCGAATGGATTGCCTGTTACCATTTCTTTAATTTACCTAAAGTCCTCTGTGTCACTATAGCAAATACAGTAAGGTAGTGACCAATGACAGCCAGTGCATATCATGCTCTAATTGAGAGATAGCAAATGCAGAATTTCATAACGGATCAAAAACACGAATCAAAACTGATACTACGAACTGATAAAATGGTACCAAAGATAGAATAATTTAAAAGGTTTTTCAATTCTCACTTAACAGTTAAAGTGTAAAAATTGAAGTTGATAATTTTCTAAATTCTGATTAACTATTATAAAAAAAATTTAGAAAAAAACTTAAATTACTAAAGTATAAGACTGAAGTCCCTAACCTTCCCTCTTTTCTATCCAACTTTCCATATCATTTCTCATACTCAAATTACTAAAAGTAAAACATAAATTACTAAAATCTAAACTTAGAATAGTATATCATTCTTGTTTTGTCTAAACCTAAAATAGTATGTTATTCTTATTTTTCATACATCTGAACTATAACTTTGACTTAATTAGCATATTTATGAGTTAATATTTCGTTTAAAAGGCTAAGATTCATTTAAGGTAAAGGTTTATGTCCAAAATATTGTTCTTAATAGGCTCAAGACCACGCATAAAAAAATAATAGGCTCGAGACAGATTTCTTGCAAGTTCGTAGGCCCAATCATGCTCTAGTCCGACCACCACCGTCCCCTCCCTCCTCCATTAGTAGCACTTTTGTTTCGCTGCACAAAGCAGAAATTCACCATAAAAATAGTAGTTACGACATGACAAAAACTTGTCACTATTTGATTTATTGAATCAGGATTCCTTTTATAACTGTGATTAATGGAGAATGCTAATCCTAATTAATGGCTGGGGTCCATGAACCAAGATTAGAACTTTGCCGCCACCACCTTCCTCCACAGCACTTTTGGTTCACTGTATAAAGCAGAAATTCACTATAAATATAGAAGTTATGATATGATAAATTATTACTGTTTGATTTGTCGAATCAGGATTACTTTGTAACTGTGATTAATGGAGAATCCTAATCCTAATTCAAGGCTGGGGTACATGAATCAAAATTAGAAATTCGCCTGTAATCATTAATTTTATTTTCAAGATCCCTCTACCCTTACTCACCAAGGGAAATTGTAATTAACTGATCAATTTTTTTTATTTGAATATATATATATAAATTTTATAATTAAGATGTGGTTTGATATTTAGAAATTTTTAATTTAATCAAATAAATTTTAAAATTTTTAAAATTCAGTATAAAGAAAAAGTTATAAAGTAATATCAATGAGTAAGAGATTTTTAGAAATAGTTTATATGAAATTTTATAAATTTTATGAAATTAAAATGGTATGAAATAAAAATAAAAATAAAATATGGATAATTTTATTTACATCAATTTATCATGTAATGATACGTACATTTAATTAATATATATGTAATACATATATTTTTAAACAAATTAAAAGATAGGAAATTGTAGTCATTTACAACTTACAACAGTTTTCTTTCAGCCTTTAATACTACCAAACTAAACATAGTATTAATGTTGTAATGAGTTATTACTGATTATGAATAAAACATTGTAATATAGTCGCAATCCCATGAGAGTATTATTTCATTTTTGATGAATGGCTATTACACTACAGCTGTATTCATTCGGCAAACCAAATGTGTCGTAAGTGTTTCTTTACTTCGTCCATTGGGGGAGTTAGAGCAAAGAAGTGAGGACTTTGTCAAGAGGGGCTCTTTCTGCTGGCTTTATGGATATTTTGGTTGAAGCAGAAGTAAGACACTCCAAAAATTGCCACTTCTCTTTGTCTTCTTTGGGATAGAGTTGTCTTTTTTACTTCTTTGCAGGGCTAAGGCTCATGGGTTCTTTTAAAACGTCTCTTTAGCTATATTGTAAAGGGATTGGTTTGTAGATTGATAGTGATTTTTGTGGTTTATTCACTTTTTGGTTTCTTTTGTTGGCTTAGGAAATTTTCTATTTGATGTTTCTGTACCTTTTTGTCTCTATATAGATAAATTATAAAATTATGAAGGATCCAAAATGGAACATTGAAATCCATGTATTTACTGTTTTGAAGCCAAAACTGAAATTTCAATAAGTATTACTGCTTTGCCCTGTGCATTCTCTGAATCAAAATTTAATCTCTTTTTCAGTTTTATGATACAAAAAATTCATCCTTTCAATTCTTTCCGTTAATTTTGTTGTGAAGGATTTCAACACAAAGGTGGAAGTCCTGCATGACTAAAACTGTCTATCACTAGCCTTTGTGCTTTCAAGGAGT